TTGGGATCAACGTTTAGCCATGAAATGGATTAAAGATCATATTGAAAATTTCGGTGGTGATCCATATCGTATCACTCTGTTCGGTGAATCAGCTGGAGCTGTCAGTGTGAGTACACATGTTGTCAGTCCATGGTCTCATTCATATTATAACAATGCCATTATGCAATCTGGTTCAATTTTTAGCAATTGGGGTCTTGCAACTAGTGAAATATCATTAAATCAAACACAAAGGTATGAAACGGTGAATTTATCCCTTTTTATGCAAAGTTTTATATACAAAGTGATAACTTACAATCACGTTATTATATTCTTGGTTAACAAGCATGCCTGCTGCACATGCACGTCGCTGCATTTTAAGTAGCACAAGGATTCTCAGAAGAGTCAACGTTGCGATCACCCCTGCCCCGTACAGGAACGCACATATTGTCTAGATTGGTCTGTAGACAAGTGGACGTCGAAAAAGCACGCGCACGAGCAGTGGCCCCCGTTCGGGCACTTATGAATCAACAAGATCCCTCCAACCAATCCACTACCAACAATCCTCGATCGGCAAGGCGGGCTTTCCCAGCTAGACCTGGTGCCCCGAAGGGATTACCGAGCCACCCAGCAGCCGTTCCAACCGTCTGGCCTCCAACTGCCTTGTGTTGATACAATCGATTGTAGCCCTCAGACCCCACATGAAGCTAAAGATCGAGTTTGTCCCACAAGGTCAGTCGGGACGTACACCCTCTCATGGGGAAAATGTCATGGACTCAACCAAGTGCAAGCGCTCGGCCAAGCAGGGTTAATCCCACATAAGTGGGCAGACATCGTTGGCGTCCAGTACCCTTTCAGTACTGGACCACATAACGCAACTGGAGACCCTTGTTTAAGAGGCCTCGACGCCAGTTTACACAATACACCGAGATGCAGAGTATTTGGGACAACCACATAGGGTCGGCGTCAATAGTCCAGGATCTTTACGGGATTTTCCTACGCTCAATGGACCGGATTCAGTCTTAGAGACCTTCAGCCCTAATCCACCAGAGTGGCTAACCGCATCCACATCCTTGCAACCATGAACGCGTACCATTATTCTGGACCATGCTAGACAAGGTCTCCTAAGCGTTCGGAACGGCTTTTAGCTGCACCGCTGTAAACAACGCTACGTTGCTTGACAGGACCACGAAGAGGTAGCCGCCACCACAACCCCCATAAAGCTCCATTTATGCGTGTCACTTAATATACCCATTCAATTAGATGACGAGGCATCTGACTACCTTAAAAGTGTCATAGTTACTCCCACAAAAGCCGTTAGCAGAGGGTGGTTGCAATCACATCGTAATCATGTAGAATTAAAACAAGATGATGTAACAGCAACGTTATACCACTGGATTAAATATTGTAGACAATAGTAATAATAATAACGATATTAATATTTTGCATGACAATATTGTGGAGATGATTGTTTCGGCGTATCAAAATAATGAGTGAATCATTGTTAGACCAGCATTAGAAACCCAGAAGCACTGAACGGCCATTTCGTCCTGGTATGAGATTCATCATCAATGCGTATCCACGACTCCTGCTACTCATAGGATTCCAACCAAGGACCTACGGACTTGCGCACGAATGCCCAATCTCTATTGGTGGTCTAACGACGGTTGATTCAAGATTTCAGCAAGAACAACAGTAATTTAGGTTACAATATACACAACGATAAAACTTATTTATTATTTACACACAGATAAAGTATTGTTCCATAGATTGAAAGAGTTTCTAGTGTTTTAAGGAGTTGAATACGAGGAAATCTTGATAGGTTTGAATAAATTCTATAAACAGACTTCAGTACATTCTTTAGATCAGTAAGTGTACTTATGGTTGACTAAATGCTGAAGAATATAACTAACGATTGATCTCTTCTTGTTGAAAGCGATTTCTGGTTACATTCGGTCTCCTCTATGTTCATCTACCAGTTCACCTGCTCTTGCGAATTAAGGTACACAGGCTTTTTCTCAATGTTAACTGATTCAAGGTAACCGGTAAATAGTTCTGTAGCTCGGTTTTGTACTGGTTTACACTTGTTAACAACGTGTATCTACAATAATGAGGGATTTAATGTCGATCGAGTTACATTCGTTAAGTTAGGTGGTTTATTCGTAAAACCTTCATTGTCTGTTAAAATAACACCAACAGAGCAAACATCAAATCAAAGTGAACTCATGGAATTTCCGTCGATCTTTATTCAGACTTTTCATTATTGACCCTTATTCTGTTGTTACTTACACTGTTACTTTTATTGCATTTCCTACTAACCTGATTATCGACCTCACAACTTTTTGCGATTAATGTGATTGGTTAATAAATCGGGTCACTTTCAGTATGTTTATTGATCGCTAATTGACCTGATTGCCAAGCTTCTAAAATGGTTCTGTTATGTTTTTTTTTAAAATATTTTGTCTGTCCAAGATTTCAACAATTTTTCAGTCAAACATTTTCCCGAAATCGTCGACGTACATTGGATATAAATAAGTATAGCTACACTGAGGCATTTGACAGCTAGTCGATATACATATGCCTAAAACAGAAGTTTATGGTTCTCCAGTTGAATACTTTTAATCGTCAAACAAAATCGAACCATTATTAGCTATCACACACACTCAAGGTCTGAGGGCGAAGTCGTACTGCTGACTACTTCAGAGGGAGGTGACAGCAGTAAGGTGTATCCCTCGGACAGCCAGCATCTACAGCGATGCTGCCTTCTTACAAGCAACGAAGGGTTAGAAAAGGTCGACCCTAAAAATGTCACACCTCACCCTACCTCACGGATCTCCGTCTCCGGCGGAAAGAGTGTCCACTAAGGGCTTTCAAGAGCGGAGCTAATACTCAAAAAAATTCTCATAAAAAGGCCGTGCGTGACCGGCTTCAAGCAGTTGTTCCCTTGGACTCTGCGGTCACGCACTCAGGTCTCTAAGACTAACACTAATCTATCTTTCTTTTCAGCTCCCTCAAGAAACACCCGTCCATGGTGTGGGCAGTCGGGAAGTGACAACCGCCCTCATATCCGTAACAGCACACGATAGACCAAATTGGTCAAAGTTAAATCCTTCTTACACCCCTTAATATCTCTCTGTCTGTCTGTTACACTATTTACTCCTTTTATATTATATTATATTGTACTAAATAGGCTTGCAAAAATTCTTGGCTGTGGACAACGATCATCCACAGATCAAATTAAATGTTTACGTTCCAAGTCAATTACGGAAATTTTAGACGCTCATGATACAATGTATGATCCAGCAAGTTATTTCTCTGTACCATTTCCACCTGTATTAGATAATAATTTTTTTCCATATGAAAATAGTCAATCATTTCGTCAGTTGAAACATCTTAAACCATCTGGTGCTTTAATGTTTGGTATTAACAAGAATGAAGGCAGTTACTTTTTGCTGTATGCATTTGTATCCAATGCAAAATGGATGAAAAATATGACTGATTTACCAATCACTAATCGATTAGATTATTTACGATGTTTACGACAAGTTCTCGATCTGGATGATGATGATCGACCGGAATTCACGGAACCATTGATACGTTATACAGATTTTGAATATCAAACTTATCAACAATTAGTGAGTTATGTGTATATTAATAACAATGTAATTATATATATATAATTATACTAGAATGATTTACTTACTTACTTACTTACTTACTTACTTACTTACTTACTTACTTACTTACTTACTTACTTACTTACTTACTTACTTACTTACTTACTTACTTACTTACTTACTTACTTACTTACTTACTTACTTACTTACTTACTTACTTACTTACTTACTTACTTACTTACTTACTTACTTACTTACTTACTTACTTACTTACTTACTTACTTACTTACTTACTTACTTACTTACTTACTTACTTACTTACTTACTTACTTACTTACTTACTTACTTACTTACTTACTTACTTACTTACTTACTTACTTACTTACTTACTTACTTACTTACTTACTTACTTACTTACTTACTTACTTACTTACTTACTTACTTACTTACTTACTTACTTACTTACTTACTTACTTACTTACTTACTTACTTACTTACTTACTTACTTACTTACTTACTTACTTACTTGCTTACTTACTTACGCATGTTACTCCCAATGGAGCATAGGACACTGACCAGTGTTCTCCAGCTTCCTTTTCTAGTTCATTCCTCTCATGTCTGTCTCCATTTCTCAGCGTATTGTGTTTCTTGGCCTTCCTCTTTTCCCTTGACCTTGAGGGTTTCAAGTGATGACTTACATTGTGAAGCATATGTGTGCCCTATCCACTTCCACCGCTTCTTCTTGATCTCTTGCTCCACTGGAATCAAGTTTGCTCTAGCCCACAGTAGGCTGGTGTAGATGGTGTCTGGCCAAAGGATCCAAAGTATTTTGCATAGATAATTGTTAATAAACACTTGTATCTTGTGGACGATGGCCTTGGTGCCATGCCCGGAACCTGTTGCTGTGAGCTATTTGAATTCGTTTAGCTTTCCAGCTTTTCCCGAAGAAAGGCCATATGAAACTTTGGAAGTTGTAGCTGATAATGTTGTTCAGAAGAACAATGAAAGCTACACAACTAAAACATCCATCTCAACGAACAAAACTTCAATGGGGATAATATTCTCATCTTAAATTACTCTATTTCTTTTTTGGACATTTGGAGATGTTGATACATTTTTAAAAAAATTCATTTGTTCTTCTAATTCCATTCAGAATAATAAATAACAGTAATGAAGAAATATTTGACAATTATTAATGATAAAACTGATATGTTCGTCACTAGGTACGCTTGAAGCTATTGCGAGTTCACCTTAGTCGACAAACGTGAACGAGACAATTACCAGCATACATATTGGCTACCTTGAATCCAAAGCTGAAGATAGAAGACTTTGTAAGCGTAAAAGTATATTCTACAAACATCCAGCAATCACACAATACAATCAAGAACAAAACTCTCGTTTATTTATACATCATAGAAACGTCCTTGGGACAGTCACAAAAATAGCACACTAAAATCCACAGCAGCCAATCACAACCATGGATTTTCCTGGTGGGAAAAGAAATCTCAAGGTCAACTGATCATCCCATGCTGGCGAACTTGAAATCCAAAATAAGGCATTTAACAAGCGAGTTCTGCGGATCTAACATCCCCAACAAAAACATCACTAGACAAATACTTTCATCCTTATACAACAACACTACAGTGAAAACTTTCAATTGTTATCTGACTGGAGTAAACTGATCAAATTATTCATAGATATGGTTGACAATTTGCAGTCTAGCCTGTCCATTATTAATGAGTTTCAGAGTAAAATCAAAATCTTGTAGCTCTATACAGTTGAAGCACATAAAAGAGGATAGGAAGTAATATTTTCTGTATCAGAGTTCAAACGAAATTCATCGGAGTTTTATTCTTGTCGCTAGACAACATTTCATTAAATAAATATGTAATTTCTAACTTATTTTGACTAAAAAAGAACTGTTTGATTTTACTCTGTAATATCTCCCTCTCTTTTTCCTTAATATAGCCTACATTAGAAAGTTGGACTGAAAGATTAGAAGAAATAAGTAGTGATAGAAGTTTTAAATGTCCAACAATCAATATGGCCACTGCTGTGACTAATGATTATCGTATACCAGGTCGACGTCGTGCACATACACTTCCTGTATATTTTTATGAATTTCAACATAGAACTCATTCATTACCAATGCCTAAATGGACTGGTACAATGCACGGCTATGAAATTGAATATGTTTTCGGTATTCCATTCAGTCCACAATTTCAAGCAAGTTTTTATCGATTCACTGATGAAGAACGTCAACTTAGTGATATTATGATGACATATTGGGCCAATTTTGCTCGGACAGGATAAGTTGATTATGTTTAAATGTTGTTTTTACTATAAGAGTGATTATAGTTAATTTTGTTTTACAAGTGTAGTTTATTTCATTATGCCAAGCGCAAAACATGACTCGTTCTTGTTTTTGAACAAGTCAGTTAATCTATTCTTTCGATTGTATTCTTCTCATTTGTGTGTGGTTAATCCTGTTAATTATTTGCTTATACTTACTTACTTACTTACGCCTGTTACCCCTAATGGAGCATAGGCCGCCCACCAGTTTTCTCCAACCAACTCTGTCCCAAGCTTCCCTCTCCAGTTCTGTCCAATGTTTGTTCATTCCTCTCATATCTTTCTCTATTTCTCGGCGTAGTGTGTTCCTTGGCCTTCCTCTTTTCCTTTAAACTTGAGGGTTGCAAATGAGGGCTTGTCTTGTGACGCAGTTAGGTGCTTTTCGTAATGTGTGTCCTATCCACCACTCCCACCGCTTCTTCCTGATTTCCTCCTCCACTGGAATCTGGTTTGTTCTCTCCCACAGTAGGTTGTTGCTGATGGTGTCTGGCCTATTTGCTTATAACCTTAGCCATTTTATTTGAGTTGTTGTGTGCATTGCTTGCGTACACGAACACACATTTCATCAAATGGAGTTGAACCACTAGCCTTCTCCACTTTCGTCTTCTCATAATTATGTCTGTCTGCAGAAGCGTTCGTATGAAATGTATTCATCTAAATAAAACAGTAATGGGCTTCTTGTTAGCACCGTCACAGAGACGCGGCTCTCCTAATTATATACAGAAATTAGAGGGGAGATTTATTTCATCAGCATAATTAATCGTTCCTCCGAAATGGAATCATATCCGAGGTCACTAAAAATGTTTCACATTAAACTTCGTTAAACCAAATGAACTCATTTATGACATAAAATTCTGGTACATGAAATATTTTCTAATTTTAGCTTTCTAAAAGTGTTGAGTTTACATTTATTTTCTAACCAATCTACCATGTTTATGTTGTGCATGCACATAAACACGTCAGTTGATATGCTTGAACTATTACAAGTTTATCTTAGTCGGTAAACGAGAACGAGGATCGAGGATAAGGAGACTCGATATGCTACTCTAATTCGATTGTCCCAAACTCCCAATGAATTAAAGAAGAAGACCTTATATGAAGGAGAACCTGTATTCTACAAACATTCAGAAAGTACGAGGTCTAAGTCCAAAAGAGAACCAGGATCCCGGACTAAGCATGCAAGTCCGTGTCCGAGTCATAAAACGTTACAGATAATGCTTATTTATACTGTTAGGTCGAATAGAAAACAGCATTGAAGTCTGTGACATTGACAGTTAAGACGACCAATAGGAAACAACATTTGAACTGACATTGATAGTCATAATGACCAATCGGAAACAACATTGAAGAACGTGACGATGATAGCTAGGACAACCATAATATTGACCGGTAGGAATCAACCAATAGAATCAGATTTACAAATAATTCTCTTAGGATATTTGATGAATATTTTCTCAGGATAATTTTCATTTGAAAAAAAATCGTTAACCGTACATTTTACCAAAATAACCGATTAGTTTACAAACAAATAAATGAGTAGAGAGTTGGCAAAATCATTATTTCTCGTAAATTACTGTAAAATCAAGAATAAAACACAGTTAGTTTTGTAATGCTTAATACTTTCACTCAGTAAAATGAAATCTCTGAAAATATGAATCGATCAATGTTAGACCACCATTAGAAACCTGAAAGCACTGGACGGCCGTTTCGTCCTGATATGGGACTCCTCAGCAGGGCGCATCCACGACTCCTGCCCCTCGCAGGATTCGAGCCCAGGCCCTTCGGTATTGTAGGCGAACCCCTAACCATCGGACAGCCGGCTTAAATTTACATACCGATTTTGTGCAATATAATCAGTCTTTAATTGTGATTCGTTTTTATTCTGTTTCAATTATCAATGTTCTGATGTTGTTTCATAAGAGCAATTTTTAATCTGATCAATATTTTATTATTTGTATTTACAAAGATCCAAATATTTTACCAGATGGTCGACATGTAACTGATAATGTAAATACCGAAGAATCAGATGAAATGATGGACAGCGAATTAGAAAACTTAATGATCCCCAAACAAACACGTAAAAATCCATTTATTGGATGGCCAGAATTTCGAAATAGTACAAAAGCTTATATTGTTTTTCGTTCAGCTCCAGGAAATCTTCATGTTAGCACAAGACCACGTCATCGTCAATGCTTGTTTTGGCGTCGTTGGTATCCTGCATTACTTCAACAAGGTAATTTGAGGAAATAAAGTAATCTACTTATCTCTGTGACTTACATACTTACTTACGCCTGTTACCCCCAATGGAGAATAGGCCGCCCACGAACATTATCGAACCTACACTGTCCTAAGCCTTACTTTCTATTTTGACTAACTGTTTCTCATTCTTCTGATGTCTGTCTTCCGGCTCAAACGTCACCTGGAGCCCCTCTGGGGCTACTACTACTCGTTAAAAAAACATCAACTTATCTCCATAGTCTGGCACTTAAGTCATACAGAATATCCTTATTACATTAAACTATTTCCAGGATCAAAACTTTGTCTGCATTGACGTCACCTAAACCAAGATAATATTTAGACAAATTTGTAACCTCGTCAAATGACTCAAATGTTTATTCCGTACAGAGTAACTAAGATAAAGTCAGCATTAATGCTGTTGCTTATAAATAAGAAGAACCTAAATCAAAGGATTCAGATATGACCGATAAGGCATTAGAGAACTTAGTACCTGTAATATAAATCAAAGTATTTGTTTTATATGAAAAGACTAAG